CTCACATTCCTCCCTCCTTTTCCGAGATGATCCCTGAGCCTTGAGTGCTCAGTCTTAAACCAGATATCTGTATTAACCCCACCACCTCCAAGACTCAGGGACTGGATATCTTTTTCCAGGTCTGCTCTTGAGGCCATGATTTCGTACCTACGATAATCTTTCCTGTTTTCTTGGGAAGCTGGTATTGATGTTTCTTCTTTCATCGTAAGGTGGGAATCAGTGATGAACTCAGTTTGGTCCTAAAGGTTCTATCTTCGGAATGTTTGAACCTCCTTAATTGTGGGGTTATTCTGTTTTGTAGTCCACTTTGCTTTGGGGGGGTACCTGAAATCTTCTTCATATGTTCATTTCATTTCTGGGGACATTTTAAATAACACAATTCTGAGTTGACAGTGCCTTCCCTTTCATATGCTGAAAATGCTGCTCTGACCTAGTGCCTCTCCTAGAACCCCATGGTAATTTGCATCTCTGTCCATTGCAGAGTGAGTTCTCTTTCTCCTCTGGCTTCTTTGTTTCTAGCTTTCAGCAGCCTGGGTGGGATGTACTTGAACAGAGCTTCTCGGAGTGTATCCTATTTGCAGTTTACTGTTTCTTGAAAGCTGATCTTTAAAATTCTTTTCCAGGCCACACTTTCTCTCCTACTGGTAATCCAGTGAGAACATTAGATGGTTTAACTGTGTCCCATGAGTTCTTGCAGTTCCTCCTGGGGAGTTTTGCTTGCTCTAGGTAGAGTTCCTCAGTGCTCAGGTGGGATGCTCTTGGCTTGTCTGCAGAGTCTTGACCTTTCCCTCACATATACATACTACTGACATACAGGTGCCGTGAAGAGCAGTTTCTAAGTCAGGTTATTGACTGTTGGGGGCTAAACTTTCTTCTTGGTCGTTCTTGTGAGCTTCTGTTTCTTTGCTGAGACCTTGTGTCTTCCATTTGTTTCAAGAGCATTTCTCATTCCTGCAGCATCTATATAACGCATCCTCTCAGGTTTTGTCAAATGACTCCCACTTCTGTGTCAGCCTCAGCGAGGCTTGTCTTTCCCCAAGCATCAGACATGTTTCTAACCGAGTGTTGTGCTTAATAATTCTGGATTATAGCCTGATCATCCTGAATATGATGAGACTCTGAGTTGGGCATGGCACACGCCAGATAAGTAAATAAAATAGATTTTTTTTTTAAACCTTCTCCTACACAGTCTGGCTGATGCTTTCCAGTTCTCAGGACTCCCTTTCCAGTGCCCTAGAAACTGAGCCTGGGCTTTGTTCAAGTTCTGCTGAAGACGTCTATTGTGGAATAATAAGGATTGGGAAAAACAGATAGGCTGAATAGATGTTTATTCAGGGAAAAATAACTTACAACAGAGACAGATGAACACCAGCAGGTTCCTGGTTCCAAGGATGCCTCCAGATGCTCTCTGCTCTGTCTAGCAAGCGAGAGAGCTCTCCCGGGGTCCCTGCCCCAGACCTAGTTCCCCCAGGTCACATCTGTCCCTGCTCCCACCCCCAATGGGCGTGGTCAATGCAACAGGTGCCCGGACAAAGTGAATATCTCACTACAGATGTCCTTACGCCTGAGCTCAGATACAGGCCAAGCAGCAGAAAGACAAAGAGAAGGAAACAGCAAGGCCTTTTACCTACCCTTGCCACCAGAAATGAACAGCTACTCCTGAGGGTACAAGTTCCTGGGGCCACCACACCCCAGCACCAGCACAGCATTTGGGGCACATTGGAAGGACAGGGCCTTGGTGACCCTCCTCTTTTTCTGGCAGTCAAGGGGTTCCTTTCTCCCCAGGGCAGGAACTGCAGCAAGCCTAGCCTAAGATGAAAGAAGAGCTATAACTGCTCATCATTTCAGTGATATTTCCCCCATTCACTGGCTTCTGATGATGTCACAGCCCTCACTAAGCTGCTGCCTACATTCTGCTGGGTTCTGAGAAGGGTTTTGATGGGAGGGACCAGGTGCAGGTGGCCTCTGCCATCTGATCTGGAGCCAGAGCCCACTTCCTTTCATCTCTGTATTTTAGCTTCATCCCTCAAAAACTCACTCTGGCTGCTTCTGAAGCTTGGGCATTGTGGCCTCTGCCAGCATCAGTAGAATCCCTTCCAAGCTACCTGTTGCTGCCACGGAACCCTCCCTGGGAAGGATCCTATATATGGCACCTGTGCCTCTGCCCTCCTTATGGCATGGCCCAGGATGAACTCAAGGCTCAGCACCGAAAGATGGCATCTCCTATGGGAGTCAGGGCTGTGTGGTTGAAGACTGTGTCCATGCCATTGGGCATGTAAGCCAGGCTCCAGGGGAAGGTGTTGTGGGTAGGATCTGAAGGCCAGCCCTATGACTGACTGTTCCATACTCAAGTGCTGCATGGTGGAGACATGGGACGTCAAGGCAGCACCTGTAATAATTGGTAGGATGGAGGGCCTTAAGAAATAAAGTGGGCAGAGCCAAACTGCTGCCTCCTCTACCACATCCCCACTGTGGGGCCTCCCTTATCAGAAGTAGATGAGCTTCATGGGTCTGAGTCTAGGAATGGAGATGGCTTTTCCTTGTAAGGCCATGCTTCCCACTCCCTTAGCACACGCCCAAAACTCCCCGTGTCTACAACACAGCACCACATTGGGAAGCAGCATCCTTCCCCCTCCTGATGATCTCAAGTGCAGATGGTTTTCAATAAATAACTCATTTTTTCACTTAGGTGGCTTCACTGTATGTACAAGCCACCAGAGTCATGTCCCTCAGAGAGGGAATCTGAAGTTCAGGGCAGCCTCAAGCCCCTTGAGGGTTGGGAATTCAGGACTGCATAACAAGTTCAAGGCCAGTCTGGGATAGATGTCAGAAACAGAAAGTTTCCTGTGATAAACTGACAACGAAGCTGAGTGAGGGGCTTTCAAGGTGGCTCGGTGGTTAAGAGCACTTAGCTGTCCTTCTGGGGGGGGGGAGGAGTTTCAATTCCCAGCACTCACAAAATTCTGCAACTTCAGTGCCAGGGGATCCAGTGACTTTTTCTGGCTTCCACTGGCACCAGCCATGCATGTGGTGAATGAACGTCCATGTAAGTAAACATACATATGAAATAAAAGCAAGTGTTAAAAGAAACTGAACACACTTGACAGACTATCCTGGTGTCTGAACACATAAACTTTCCATTCCAGACCCTTTTCTATGTGGAGAGAAAGATTCTCTGTGACCTGACAGTCCTGGGTCAGACAGAGCCTCCATGGCTGGGAGCCACTGCTTAGGTGCCACAGTTTCTCACAGTCATGCCTGCTCCCTTTAGGCTATCCCTGTCCCTTGGTTTGGTCCCAGCAGGTTTATTAAAGTGCTAGGCTGTTCTGGAAAGCATCAGCCACAATCCTCTCCCTGGGCCACAGCAAGGTTGACAGCCCATCCAGTCTGCACTCTCTGAGGAAGACAGGGCAGCTTCTGCTTTCCTGCAGGGTTGCTTGAATTGCTCTTTGAAGTCTTTCTCGGGGTACCTCAGCCTGCCTGCCTTCTCTTCCTCTGCCTTCTCCCTTTCCCTTTCTCAGACAACAGTAACAATAAGTATGATTAGCAAGGTGATTTCAAGCCCCTTTCAGAGGACAAGACAGTAAACAGAGCTTGTTTGCCTAAGGAAACCCTCCCAGCACCCAGCCACTCAAACTGCATGTGTTAATGAACCCAGAGCCGTTAATGCGGTTTCTTCAGTTAAATTGATTCATGAATTTTGAAGAGAACATTATCTAATGAATTTTCTTTGAATAGAAAGCAATTAAAAGGACAAATCAGTCTGATTAACCCCAAAGTCACCCTCCTGCCACAAATGCTGTACAGTTTGAAATTATATCATAAAAAAACTAGAGCACATTTGCTGTGTCTGTGCCCTCTACTAATCCATGTAAATTAATGAACAACAAAGTTAATTTCTTTGATGACCCTTTTCTAGTATCACCTGGATTATGCTGATGTTTAATTTGCTTAATGTTATAATAAAGACTAAACAGGGTTTTTTTTTTTCCAGTGAAGTGATTATCATTCCCTTCAGTTAAGAAGTGATTTTTATTATTTAACATGCATGTAAGGGTATGTTTCCTTTAAGGGCCAAATCACACCCTTCCTGCTTGGCACAAAATGTGGTCAGCACTGTGGAGGAATCTTCCTCTCTTTGTTGGAGCCCCAAAGATAGAAGATGTAGCGTGACCTCCATGATCCCTAGTCTGTGTGCCCCCCCCCCAGCCGAAGACATGGATTCACACCAGGCTCTTCCTTGTGCCTGAGCTTCTGTCCTACTCAAGGCACATTGCAGGGAATGAATCCAAAGCCCAGAGGCATCAAGGGAGAGGATTTGGCCATGCCTCACCCTAGTCTGCTGCAGGACACAAAATGCATGCCACTCGATGTGGCTAATAAGAGAAAATGGGGAACGATGTTCTATTTTTGCAGCACTGTTCAGTCAACATGCCTGCAACTGCCTGCAGCCAGGGTCACCCTCCCCACAACCTGGGCATACTGGTGGAGACACCTGGCATTCATAACAGCACTGGAAGGGGCATAGTCCTGCCCGCTGCCGGGTGTGGACAGCTAGAAAAGGGTCCCATTCCATCCCTGCAGACTTCCTCCCTCCTGCATCTCACCTGAAGTTGCAAATTAACCAGCAGTCCAAAGGGCTTCCACATAGGTGGGCCAGCAGGGGCTCCTGTGCTTGCTAATTGAACTGTGTGCAAATGCTTGCCAGCCCGTTCACAGAAAGAGCATCGCACACAGCTCCACACGGAGCGTGAGGAAGATGGAAGGAAATTAAAGACGTGGGAAGCCTTGTGAGGCCCACCTGCTTTGTGCCCGATTCAGTCTCAGTTCTCCTCGCCTGTGCCACCGTGACAGGGTGCTGTGTGGAGGCCTGTGTTTTAATTGAGTATAACACATCTATTTGTGTCATTGCATTTTCTGCTGGGGGACTGGCAGCTATTTATATCTGGGCTGCGGGAGCCGTTTGTCCAAATCGCGTCATTCTGTTTTCTTTCTTTCAGATTCATTCACCAGACAGGTGTTATGGAAGCTGCTGAAGGTTGTGAAATTCGGAGAAATGGTTTCTTACCAGCAATTAGCAGCCCTGGCAGGCAACCCCAAAGCGGCTCGCGCAGTCGGAGGAGCAATGAGAAACAATCCTGTAAGTTCTGCAGATGGGCAGCAGGCTGGATACCTGCCATTGCTGGGCCTTGAACCACTCTGGGAACCAAGTGTCATTTGAATAAATGTATTTCATAGGCCAACTCTGTGGCTTGGGGGAGGGGTAACTCCTGGGAGAGGGGCCCTTGTTTTCCAGCCACATGAGCCCTTTGTTATAGCAGCCCCTACCAGAGAGGAGGAAGCCTGGAGAGTGGCAAGCAGACTAGAGGGCAGCCTGTTTATCATTCACTCGCCACTGGGCAGTCCCCATACTGGGTGCCTGTTGAGTGGCAACGTTCTTCCATACACTGGAAATACAGCCATATATCCAGAAGACGAGAGGCCTGCCCATGTGGCACCAGCCAGCTGGAGAAGGTTTTGGTGAAATAGTACAACCCCATCTCCCTGAATCTCTGGGGTATGAAGAGCCTAGACGATGTGACACCTTGCATCATAGATGTCTACTGTCCTTGGGTGTCAGCTCCCCAGGAAATGGCTCTTCCCCCAGAATGCATCAGCATTTATTTATGTTCCTTCCTGCAAATCTGTCAGGGTTCATTGAGCTTCCAGAGACAGCTTGTAGTCACACAGTGCAGTGGATATTTTGGCCCCCCAGCGCAACCAATGGCTAGACCAGAACCCTGCATGTCTGTGGGCCTTGTATGGGCAAGAAGGCATGCTATCCACACAGTCTTCAGGGAAAGCCCACACTACCTCCAGGCTCCCTGAATGTCCCAAGCAGTCTCTCCTGTGCCAATATAGGTGTTCTGTCGTGTTGGTAAAGCTGTACAGGTCTCTAACATGGTAAAAAAAAATTCCCCCTGATTAGAAGTGCACCTATCTGGATAGGACGTTGATGTATCAGACAGTCTGAGACTCCTTTGGTGGGTAATGGTTGTTGGAGAAGGTGTTTCTCTGTGTAGCCTTGGCTGTTGTAGAACCCACTGTGTAGGCCAGGCTGCCCTCAAACTCAGAGATCCTCTTGCCTCTGTCTCCTAAGAGTTAAGATTAAAGGGGTATGCACCACGCTTGTCTCTGAATATGGCTTTTGAGGTCTTCAACAAAACTTTTCTCCTGCCTTTTGGTAGACTACCATTTCTGGGCCACTGCTAGATTTTGAGACATTAGATTAAAAAAAAAAAAAAAAAAAAAAAAAGACAGGTTCTATGTAGTCCTGGGACTGTCCCAGAACTTTCTCTGTAGATCAGATTGGAACCCATAGAGATACTTCTAAATTCTGGGACTAAAGCTATTCATCACCATGCCTGGCCGTGAGGCATTAGCTTTTGTTACAGACAAGGAGACAGCTCCAATGCTTTTGGTCTACGACTCCATTTAATGCCCCAGAAGAACAGAGGAAGCCAACATGCTTTCTACATTCCTTGTGCTGACCCTTGTAGCTGCTGTTTTAACACACACCAACCACCCTGACCTTTGAATGGGGTAGGTCTTTCTGTGCCAGGTCTGAGTGCCTACCAAGACTAAGGAAGAGGCATGGACATTCCCCAGGTGACTCCTGCAACAAGACAAATGGTTTGATATTTATCCACACTCAAGTTAGGAACCAAAGTTGTATTTTGCAAAGTTTTCAATGTGTACTCACATGAAGATGAAGATGGCCCCATCAGTGGGCACCAACAACACAGCTTCTGCTCTGAGTGCAGATAACATCTGCTTTAAGAACCTGCTGCCCAGGGTACCCATTGGTAAACATACCACACCCACTTTTGTGATGAGTTACTATCTAGCTGAGACTTGAGGGAGAAAAGGCCTGGACAATGGTAGGCTCTGCCTGCTGCCATGTTGGCAGATGTCCTCAGCACCACTGACAACGGGGCCCAAGATGAGGGTGGCTATGTGTGTCCCCTTTACCCCAAAGCCACCAATCTGGAATAAGATCAAGGAAAACAAAGTTCTTATGTTTTGGCTAAGCAGTGCCATTTGTGAATTTGAGAGGAAGAGTAGAAAGGACAGAGAATGCTCCAGTCACTGGAAACTTCATCTTGCATCATTCCTTTGGTGGCTGGCAGTAACCACGTCCTCATGCTGTCTGGTCTCACAACTGGCCATTGCCAGGTTGTCCACCTCAAGAATAGGAGTTTAGCAGGATGTTAGTCTACTCCATCCTGGGACTCAATTTCTCCCAAGTTTCCCAGTTGGGAATCTCTGGCCTTGCCAGGAGGCTGGGCAGCCTCTGGAGATGAAGGTACCACATCACCATGAATAAGGGATGCCCAGCTCCCCACCCCCCCCCCACACACACAGAGAACCCTCTTCTGCCACATCCTTAGACACAATTTGTTAAATGTAGTTCAGAGGCAATCAATACAAGCTCAGGGAGTTTCCCACCTTTTTCTAAACAAACACATTCCTGAGGAGTTAGTTTATTCGCAGATTGCCATGAGCGCCGATGACCCCCGAGTCCTGTTCTGCCATTCACCCAGATGGCTGTTGATAAAGATTTAGCATCATGTTCCGAGTGTCAGGGTTGTCAGTGGAGCTGAACCATTTGACCAGAAGAAAAAAACGCACCGGGAGCTATTGATTACAACTTCTCGGTGTCACTTGTTCACCAGGATTTAGGTATTGATGAGGCTGCGAGTGAAAACAAGCTTTCTCCCTTGTGGCCTCTGCCCAGAAGAACAAAGGCAAAGTTGGAAAAAATATTCAGCCAGTTCCAGAATCAGAGGGATTCCATTATCGATTGCAAGGCCCCTTCATGTTATTTTTGTTGGAGACAAATCTATGGGTTTGGAAGTTTTATAGCAGTTGAGAAAGGGCTTGCGTGAGTGATGGATCCGGGTATTGGACAAATTAGATTTCACAGCATGAAGATTTCAATGAAGCTGTAATACCATGGGCTCCTTGAGTATCGATAGCAATCGCATTGCATGAGGCAGGGGCTGTCAAGAAGAGGACAACAATGATACGGGTCCTTCAGATATGGCCATGGAGCCCCAGTAAATACCTACTGCTAGCCTGAAGGGTCCATTTCTAGAGGTAACCTGTATGAGTTAAGTCACCAGTCCACAATGCACTCTATGCCAGTAGTCCCTCAACTCTGCGTTGACCCACAGAAGGAAGCAGGAAGAGGTGTGCATGTTACTCACTTTTCTAATCCCATAATCCCTTAAGAGGGAAAAGCAAAATCTAAGCTGGGAGGTCAGATGTGATCTCAGGCAGAATGGTGGAATATGCATCTAAATGTTGGCAAGGCCAGATTCTGTGGCATGCGTGCATCAGCCAAAGCTAAGGGTTGGTATCATCTCAGTCCTCTGTGTCGCGCGCGCGCGCATGTGTGTGTGTGTGTTAGTAATGTTCCATTCTCAACATCTTCCATGGTTGAGAATCAGAGTCCCTCTGCTGTGAACATTGCCCTGGAGCCAAGCCCTGTGAGCAACTGGCATCCAGATCTTTTGGACCCCAATGAAGGTGTCTGCAGGTTTGCATGGTACCAGCCATGGAAAATGATGGGCCAGTTACTATCAGTGGGCTCATGAGATTACAGGCCCCTGTTTTTGAGCTTTTCAGAGTCAATAAGAAGAAACAGCCATGTTTGATAACTCCCTGGAATCATTCCCCAATTCTTTGATTGGTATGACATTTTGCAATAGCAGGTGAGTGGCAAATGGCTCAGAACACACAGACCCCACCATAGCCAAGGCATACACATATCTGGATGCCATCCCTGACACACTCTGACAGGCATCTCCTCCTTATATGCTTGTTTCCACTAAGAAGTGGCCTCCCTTAGAGTCAATCCACCATGTTAGTGTAGAGGACCATTGATGCTTAGTTTTACTCACACCATTAAAAACTGGAGAGCAGTCTGGGGACCTCAGACCATTTGAGTTGGGAAGCCGCAGCAACCCTAATAAGGACTTCCTAGTCCACAGGCCTTGTTGGGTTGGGGTGACATACCTGTCACTGGATGTGCTGCCAGTGGCAGTGTGTATCCAGGGGAATGTGTAGACATGGGTACCTTTGAGACCCTGTGTCTCCAGAAGAAAGGGGAAAGAAAAATTTTCAATGCACAGGTACAACATAAGCTGACTTGGCCAACTGTTCCTGTAAAAGGCAACTGTTCACAAAGCAGCCACAGATGGCAGTGAAAGGTATGGCTGTGTTCAAGTAAAACTTTATTTACAAAATCAGAAGGTGGACAGCAGCAGCCCCTCAGCCATGGTTTGCCAATCCCTTAGGGAAACTGGGCCTGCCTGCCATCATCCCTGAAGATTCTCATTATAGCTTGATGATGGCAGAGAAAGTCTTGTGGAACTCAGAAGTGTAGTTTGAATTTGAATAGGTGCACGTGGTAAATCACTCCTCAGATGCAATTGGTGTTCTTGTCTTAAACCTTAATACAAAAAAAAAAAAAATCCCATATCCCACACATACCTCAAAGCCGGTGTTCCATTCCCCCAAAGGATACCCTCAAGGCCTCTGAAGGGTGCAAAGTAGGGGTACTGAAGGAGCCAGCATGACCACCATGCCAGCAGCATGCCCACTGGAGATCTACCTGGTGGGACTGGACAGTCACACAGGTAAGACCTGGTCAGTAGCACAGGAAACCTGTCCCAGAGCCAGACTGACATGACACTTCTGCCTTTCAGGTCCCCATCCTCATCCCCTGCCACAGGGTGATCTGCAGTGATGGCAGCATTGGTAATTACTCTGGAGGAGGGCAGGCTGTGAAGGAGTGGCTTCTGTCCCACGAGGGCATCCCAATTCAGCAGCCATCCTGCAAGGACTTGGGTCTGACTGGGACCCGACTCAAGCCATCCCGTGTCTCCACCAGCTCCAAACCATCTGGCTGAAATTGAGTAACTGTTTGAGTGACACATAGATGTAACGCCGTGTCGGAAGCAAATGTGTGGTGGTACCACTATATTAAAAGAGCTGGATGTGTCCTGGGGGACTCAATGTGGCTGCCCTTTCTTGTTTCTACATTTTACAGCAGAATGAGTTCAGACGACCCACCCCTGTGTATGTCATCAGTTCCCTTCCCTGACATGGTTATTGTTCTATTTTTAATGCCTATTAAAATGGGGGTGAGAGTGAGAAAGGCCTTGGGAGCCTCAGGGCCACTTTACATGAAGGGAGATGCATCTAACACCTGCAGGCAACTGCCAGCCACCTCACACTGTCCACACTGCACAGCTGACTCCACCCTATCAGGACCCCCAAGCCATCCTTCAAGCCATTTACGCTGTGGAGATGGCTACCCCATTCAGTTCCCAACACCCCACCCTTGTTGGCTAGAGGGGGGATGGGCTGAGAAGTAAACACCTTGTGGGGGGGTCCATGTTGTTTCTTTACCTGCCAGGAAAGTGTCTTGTATCTACTGTGTCACTGTGTTCTTCTACAATGATTAGATGGGGAAAAAGTACCACCTTCCAAAAATGATTTGGAATGCTGAATAGCACATGGGACATGAATGTGGCTGGGCTGGTGCCCTTCTAGGCATTCAAGTCACCTCCAAATTCTAACTGTTTTTACTTTCTTTCTTTTTGAATTTCTGGATAGTAGGTGGAAGGGACATGGTCCTTCCTGGGCGCCTCAAGGACCAGGAACCTGTAAAGGTCTCAACACCCCATGTTGATCGTGTGCATTCAAGGTCAATACAGCAGTGGCAGCCGGCCCACCAGCACTGGAGACAGTCTCCAAATCTGCCATATGGTGCCTTCTGATGCTTTAAAACTACATCATCATTCCATTTCTAAAATTGACTATTCCTAAAAAGTGACAGGAAACTCAGCCAGGGGTCTGGATAAATAAAACAGCGTGTGATTGGAGGAGTGAACCACCAACCATGTAGCAGAAAGCTAGATTTTATGGTGGCTTCTCTGAGAGCGGAAACCACTCATGCCATCTCAGATGGCAACACAGCCTCATAAGGAACTTGCTTTGGTGAGCCTGGTACTGCTACCTTAACACCCATGTAAATAAACCTCAGGCCTTTCTCCCTGCTTTCCAATTAATCATGTCCTCACCTTATATCAGCTGCACTAACTCTGGTATTTTTATAAAGAGGCATTACAAATGCAACGCTTTGTGAGTTTGGTTATCACCCATCATCACAACGTGAAGTGGGTCTTGTTCTAGTAGTGAGCACCGTAACCTGTGCGTTTTCAGGATAGGGCTGGGTGCGCACTGGCATCCTCCCATCTGGCTTCACCAGGGTACTTTCTGCTTATTTCCTAAAAGGGCCATCTTTGTCTGACTTGACCAGCAAGAGTCGGGAAAGGCTGGGACATCTTGCATCAGAGTAATGCTACCCTGATGTCTCTCCAGCACCAGAGGATGTCTTTGTCCTCCGACTGAGGAGAGCAGAATTCTTCTCAAAGAGTCACTCTGGGCCCTGCAGCCTCCTGTGTGTGTGTGTGTGTGTTCCAACAGAGGGCACTGTGGCTGCAGTGTGCTGGGGAGACCCCAGCCTCCTCTGCTTAAGGAGGAGTTGGAAGGTGGGCATCACGGTTAAACTCAACTGATTCTGAGCATGTCCTCCACCCTGCCACATGGGCCATCAGGCCAGTGTCTTGTACATAGGTCTCCTGTGCCTGGGTGACCTACAAAATGGGAGCTTTCCTTGTGATCTCTACATGTCCAAACAGATCCAGGCTCTAAGAGGAGCCTGGGGCTGTACAGACCTCCACGGCCAAACCCCCAGCATGGGACAGCTACATGCGGCCAGGACACCAACCCCATCAAAGCCACAAGGGCAATCTGGCAGCTCCAGGTAGCCTGGGATGATGAGCAGGCATGTTTGGGCCTGCCCTTGGAGCAGTACGAAAGCTGTGTCTGCTCTCCTCTCCGAGGGCTTCCTCAATGCTGTCATAACAGGTTCATAGATGCCCCGAGGTAGCCGTTGACAGCAGCAGGACTCACTGCAGTGACCGTGTACCGCTCCAAGGATAAACTCTGCAGAGGCTGACATGAAACGCCAGCACGGTCGCCTGGAGCCGCTCTGGCTCAGGGTTGCAGCTCAGCTTGTGAAAATAAGAGAGAGAGGAAAGGCATAAAGAATTACAAAAATATTTTCCAAATAAAAAGAAATGTTGAAACAAGAAAGCTGTGTTCTATGGCCTTGGCCCCAGGTCCCTCTCACCTATGCAGTCTCCATGCCCTGAGCTCCTGTGCTTTGAATACTGACACAGAGGCATGTCAGCTGCCATTGCACCGCGGCTCCTGCCAGCCATGCTGTCATTTGCCGCCTCCATAAACCGTGGTAGCCAAAGACTTGGGCCTCACTGCCAGCAGAATAAATAGAAACCTTTGGTCAGGAAGGGGGCTGAAACTTGGAAGTGGGTGTTTCTCTCCCAGTGAGGAAGTATTTCCCTTCCCTATGAAGGATATACACACACCACTCATCCGTGTCCTGTGGCCCTACCAAGTGATGAAGCAACCAGAAGGCAAGTCTGACTCATCTTCCGCCCCAAGTAGGGAAGCTGCAACCTGGAGCAAGGGCAGTCCTGGGCCTGGAAGCTGAATTCCTGTAAGAGGCATTACAGGGAAAAGGGGTCGTTCTTTGAGGTTCTAGGAGCAACAGGTGAAGACGGTGGGTACTTCGGGGCAGATGGCAGACTTACTTGGGAGTTGCTGGATGAGTTTCTGGAATGTTCTTAGGAGCCCTATCAGATCCATACTCTTTAATGTCTACAGTATACCTCTCTCTTCCTTAGGTCCCACTCCCTACTACTGCCCTGTCACCCAGAGTCCCCTTTTAATGAGGGTCCTAGTGTACCTAACATTGATAGAGTCATATTGAGGCCTCAGCATTGTCAGGACAACTTTCCTATGTGAGTACATGGAGAGCAAAGGTGTTGTCAGGAGTGCAGGGGTGGACCATCTCCAGAACAGTTTCTCAGGGTCACTGGCAATGAGTGAAATGCTGCACATATCCACTGTGACCCTGGATCTAGTCCTCAAGAACAAAATGTCTCCATGGGCCCGGTGCCAGCTCAGATCTCAATGCTATCGAGTGATCAGGGAATGGCAGCTGAATCTGAGTGAAAACCTTCTTCCCTCAGGAGCATTCCAGAGAACCCAGTGCTCCTTTGATTTCAGATGTTGTATGTTAGGACTGTGGAGTGACAGACACGTTGGCTTAATGTGGGAGCCAAGGAGGACTCCATTTTACTCTGAAGATTTTCCTGGAAGTCCATTCAAGAAGCTAAACCTTTTGCAGCTTCCTCCTGTTGGGAGATGTCTGGGTCCCCACGTGTCACAAAAATATGTCACAGAGGGCAGGCAGGTGGGTGGGAGCCCTTGGGTAGAAAACTAAATTTTTTTTGTCTCCTCCAGGCCATCTGTGTCTGCCCTTTCTTTTAATCAGAATTGTATTAAAGTTTGCATTTAAAAATCTAGAATTAGCAGAGCACAGAAGGCCACACAGGCTGTAGTTGCAGCTGTTGGACAGACAGAGGCAGGAGGATGGTGACTTGAAGGCCAGCCAGGACTGCATAGGAAGACCTATGTCTTAAATAATAAGAAATTTTAAAAGCAGTTGTGAGGCAGAAGCAGGAGAACTAGAAGCCAGCCTGGTCCATCTACCAAGTTTCATGCTAGACAGGACTACATAGGAAGATGTTCCAAAACAGCAACCAAAATAAAATAAGTGAAGAATTAAGATCCTGGCAAGTTCTCTTGAACGGTTTGATAAAATTAAATGAGACTATGTAAAAGGCCCCTTCCTAGTCTCATTGTCTGTCTGTCTGTCTGTCTGTCTGACTGACTGACTGACTGACTGAAACAAAAGAGGAGTGATTGCCAAAAGCCAAGGCAAGAGTCAAGAAAAACTGTAGTTTCTGACATGGCTCCAGGTGATGGAGGGAGGGCATCCGGGGGCCTCAGAATCCCGGGACCCCATGGCTCCAGCTGCTGACAGATGGAGGCCGCCTGGCCTCCATCACAGAGGGCTCTCCAGCAAGGGTCTGTGTTGGGATTGGGGGCCAGAGTGGATGAGGAAATAGGAAGTGGATGCTGAGCCATGAGGTGCAAATTGACAGCAGGGCCCAGCCTGACAGCGCCTTTGATTGATGAGAGGACACTGTTAACAACCCTTTAAAGTTTCTCATTAATGTTTTTTTCACTGAAGAGAGCCACAAGAAAAAAATTCCACACGGACGGTAATTAAGATCGATCCTGTACAGTATGGTGCTAGCGCTGTTGGGAGCCTTTAAAAGAAGAAAGCAAACCCTCCTATTAAACACTCATTCTCAGGCTGCCAACTTGTGGGTTACTGAAGCCCCATGCCCTGTGCATGAGGCACATTTTGTGGACTGGGGTGGTGGCCATCACAGGGAAGTTTTCACTGAAGACACAGAATGGAGCCTCCATATTCTCATTGCCCTGATCTCTGATTTAGCAGCCAAGGAAAGGAAGGATGCACCTGGAGATGCTGAGTGACAGTAGCTCCCAGCCAGGCCCATGGAGTGTCGAAAGTTGGCTCTGCATGGTATGTGTGATGCTCCAAGAGACTCCAACTCTGGAGTGAGGTGGAGGGCAGAGGAAGGAGCAGCAAGGTTAGGAATGGCATCTCTCTCTCTTTGTGCACACAGGAAACTGTGACCCAAGTCTCCCTGCTATGCAGCATGAGTATATGTGCCTCCAAGTGAGTTTGGTGCCTTCAATGAGGAGGAACTCAGCTGGAGAGGATGCCAGTATCCAAACACTCAGTGCTATGTGACACTGTAGAAGTGCTGCTTTCGGTTTTGATTGTCATGGTTACGGTGCAAGGGTGAGATTTTCAGAAGCTGTGGAGGCGGTGGAGGGCATGTGGAGTGACTCATGGTGGAGTTTATCAGGGCCCTCCTAGTGGAACTTGGACCTGGAATCTTCCTTTTTGGGCCTCTGTAGGGAGTTTGGGTCTAGTCTGGCCAAGTGAGGGTCTCCATAGGGAATGGGACTATCATCAAGGCCTC